GTAACCCTAGTTACTGGAGAAGCTAAGATTGGGAGGATCCAGCCCAGGCAAAAAGCTCACAAGACACAACCTAATTCAACCTTATTCAATGAATAGCTGGACACAGAGGCACAGGCCTGTTATCCCAACTCCATGGGAAGCATGAATAGGAGGATCAGGTCCAAATTGGCTAGAGAAAATAAAAAACAAGATCTTATCCAAAAATAATAAAAGCAAAAAAGGGATGGAGGTATGGCTCAACTGGTAAAGTACTTGCCTTGAAAGTATGAGGCCCTGAGTTCAAACCCCTGTATCACACACAAAAAAAAGGAAAAACAAATATTGTCATTAGTAAAACTAGAAAAAATGAAGAAAAGAAAGAAACCTGACTTCAGAATTTTCATACCCATACACTACCTGGTGAAAAACAAAGGCCTCTTTGTCAGTAAGACTAGGCCACATTTTATCTTAGCTCTCCCTGACAGCCAGGGCAAAGCAGAGTAGGTCCAGCCTAAAAAAATCCAACCAGGAGCTGAAGACACATTTCTAACCCTAGCTACTCATGAGGCTGAGATCTGAGACTCATGGTTCAAAGCCATGCCCTGGACAGAAACGTCAGTGGGACTCTCCAATTCACCAGCAAACATTTGGAAGTAGCTGGGTGCTGGTAGTTCATGTCTGCAATCCTAGCTACTCAGCAGGCTGTGGTCTGAGGATCACAGTTCAAAGCCAGCCCAGGCAGGAAAGTCTGTGAGACTTAATCTCAATTAACCACTAGAAAACTGGAAGTAGAACTTGGCTCAAAGAGGTAGAGCGCTAGCCTTGAGCAAAAAGAGCTCAGGAACAGCTCCCAGCCCCTGAGTTCAAGCCCCAGTATTGGCATCAAAAAAGAAAAATTCAAGCTGGGCACAAGTGCCTATGACTGTAACCCCACCTACTGAATGAGATCTGAAGATTGAGGAGCCAGCCAGGGCAGAAAAACCATAAGAATCTTATCTTCAATTAACCAGCAAAAAGCCAAAAGTGGTGCTGTGGCTCAAGTGCTAGAGTGCTGGCCTTGAGCAAAAAAACCTCAGAGACTGCACCCCGGCTCTAAACTCAAGCCACAGACTAAGCAAGAGAATGATTAGATAGATAGATAGATAGATAGATAGATAGATAGATAGATAGATAGATAGATAGATAGTTAGATAGATAGATGGATGGATGGACGGACGGACGGACGGACGGACGGACGGACGGACGGACGGACGGACGGACGGACGGACGGAGAGAGAGATGGATGGCAAAGAATCTAAAAATCCATCTGAGGAGCAGGATTAAGATCTGTTGATCAGAAACATTTCTAAAATGGTGCATTCACTGCTTGATCTAATAAGTCTTGACTGCCTGATAGGAAGGCATTTCTATGTAGAAAAGTTGTATAAAAAATTCAACCTTCCAGGGGCTGGGAAGGTGGCTCAGTGGTAGAGCACTTGCCTTGCATGCATGAGGCCCTGGGTTCAATTCCTCAGCACCACCATATAAGCAAAAAAAAGAAAAAAGCTAGAAGTGGCGCTGTGGCTCAAGTGATAGAGCGCTAGCCTTGAGCTGAAGAGCTGAGGGACAGCGCCCAGGCCCAGAGTTCAGGCCCTGCGACTGGACCCAGGGAAAAAAAAAAAATTCAACCTTCTTAATTCCTATTTCAACAGCTACAAAGCTGACTTTAGTTCAGGATTTTTTTTCCCAGTGTTAAACAAAAAGAACTCATAACTTACATTCAACATAATATAAATTATGCTTAGTCTATATTTTTTTTCTTTGTTCTTTTTTTTTTTTTGCCAGGTCTGGGGCTTGACCTCAGGGCCTGGGCACTGTCCCTGAGCTTCTTTTGCTCAAGACTAGTACTCTAGTCACAGTGCCACATCCAGCTTTTTCTGTTTATGTGGTACTGAGGAATCGAACCCAAGGCTTCATGCATGCTAGGCAAGCACTCTGCCACATTAAGCAACATTCCCACCCCTACTATATATATTCTGATGATTTTCAACACAGATAAAATTCCTAACCCTCAAAAAGCTTAAATTTCAGGAGAAAACATGAATAATAAGAGCAAGATGAATAAGCTTATTAGAAAGTGACAAAGGTGGTAAAGCAAATTAAAACTGGAAGCAGTGGCTATAGGACTGAAATGAAATTTCAAATACAGCAGTTACAAGGGCCCGGTGAAGAAAGCATTATTTGAGATAAGAACTAAAGAAGGCTATTTAGCAAACTCTACACCTGGAGAGGATAACGGAAAGGAAAGGCTTTGAGGCTTATCAGTAGGGGGGAAAAAAAAGGTGGTAGAGTAGAAAGAAAGAGCTAAAGCTTACAGCAGATGAATTCAGAGGCAAACATGTGAGGGTGACCTTATAGAATCTTAGAAGAACTTCAGCTTTGTTCTGAGTGATACTTCCATGCTAGAGGGTTAAACAGAACTCCTATTATAGTTCTTATGTTAAGAGCCAACTGTAAGGTACAGAAAGGAAGAGACAGACTTGGTTTCGATCAAGGTGGTAAGAAGCAGATTCTGAATATATTATGAAAATAGAGTCAACAGGATTTTCAGACAAATAGAAATGGAGACAAAGAAATGAAAATAAATGATGACAAAGGCTTTTGGCATATACAAAACAATGAATTTGTTACCAGTCACCAACCAAGATGAGAATCTGTGTGATAATAGACTTGAAAGAGAGACAATTTCCATTTTTACCTCACTGAAACAGGCAGCTGCACATGAGCTGGGGCTTAGATATAAAAGTTAAAGCGTAGATTTAATTTCAATTTTGAAGTCTTATTTGAATCCTGTGTCTTTCAAAAGACCAACTTGAGTCATGAATGAAGATGCAATTTTACATGGCAACTAATTCAGTGTAACAAAAGAACAAAAACACTATTAATGAGGTAGCACTGCGTATTCTCTTAGGCACAACACCCTCTACTCAAGAAGAAGAGCAATCTACGGTAAGCACTGACCTAGATCCAGCTGAAAACCTAGCATGACAAAACACACATTCTGGACAACCAAATTTAAACTCACACTTTCTCCTTTATCATCCTCGCTCTCATTCCCAGATTGCACTTTTTGATGTCACATTTTTGGCACTGTCGCCCCACCCCAACCCCCAGCAAACAGGTAGGAAATAAGGACGACAGAACGTGGCTCAGTTTATTTCCCCCACTAGTCCTCAAGTGAGGAGAAAATGAGAACACTTGGTAAGTGCCACTAAAACTCTTCAGAAGGACTCATCTGCTGGGCTATTTTTTGTCTGAACAAAACTAAAATTAAAAAAAACATTTCTTGAGACCAATTTGTAGGACTAACATGTTCATACAGTTATCACCTCTATATTTCTGGGGCTGTATCCAAAGGTAAATGAAAGGAAAATAAGTCACATTTACAGCTCACCTATTCTTCTCAAAGTCTAACCTCATTAATCACTCAATATATTCTTAGCAAAAGTGAATGTCAAAGTAAGCACCCTATCAAAATTAAAATTCAAACATCTAAATCTACTAGAAAAATAAACTTGGATGAATGCAGCAGAGGTACTCAGACACTATACAACTTATAGATGGGGAAGGGAGGGTAAGTCTGGGAAACTATGAAGGGGTCACACTGTCCAAAAAGAAATGTACTCATTATTTCACTTATGAAATAGTAATCCCTTTTTACATCATCATACAATAACAATTTTTTAATAAAAAAAAACTTAAAGACAACTGTTATGTAAATTATGTAACAAATGGTTAATTCTCACTAGGCCAATTACTGGAAAGAATTTCTGCTGCCATGTGTCTCTGCCCTTCAGCAGCACTTAACTAATAACTGGCCCAATATTGTAAATTTCCTTAGGAAAGCACTAAAAACACAACATACATATATCATAATTTGAACTATAGGATCATCTGGCTATATGAAAACAGTCCCATGAAGTTTACAAATATTTACTAACTTTCATATTCAGATATCAGCATTTTCAAGGTCAATACTCTGTTCAACTTCTTGGAGTCACATATTTTTGTGATATTTTTAACATATGACTAAAGCCTCTCTCATCACAAGATGCTCACACTGTTTACCAATACTCAGAAACAGCAGCTGGTGCTCCTCAGTAACATCTTGTTACAAGAAGAGGACAAGTTTTTAACTCCAGGTATATACTTTTCCACCAATACATAAAAAATGGCTTTAAAGTTTTCATTCCCTTGCTGATGGAAATATATAATTAAATAGACAATTTAGTACAAAGCTGACAAGGTCACACATACAGATTTTCACACATACAAACTTAAAGAGTATAGTTATTGTAGTAAAGGAATTCCATAGTAAATAATACTGACTTCTTTTACATATTTTCAGGGTATTTTTTTTGCAAGTACTAGAAGTTTCAACTCAGGGTTGTTTGGTTTTTGTTTTTGCTTTGGGGGGGGGGTCCAGTCGTGGGGCCTGAACTCAGGGCCTGAGCACTGTCCCTCAGCTCTTCAGCTCAAGGCTAGCGCTCTACCACTTGAACCACAGCGCCACTTCCAGCCTTTTTCTTTTTGCTTATGTGATGCTGAGGAATTGAACCCAGGACCTCATGCATGCAAGGCAAGCGCTCTACCACTGAGCCACCTTCCTGGCCCTCAACTCAGGGTTTTGTGCTTGTTATGCAGGCACTCTACTGCTTGAGCCAGGCCTCCAGCCATTTTTGCTCTCATTGTTTTTGAAGTAGGTTGTCATCTTATCCTGGGCAACCTGAGATCCAATCTGAGATCCTCCTGATTTCAGCCTCTTGCATGACTGGAAGGAGCAGTACATGCCATGACACAATACCTAGTTGAGATGGGGGTCTCAAGAACACTTTGCCCAAGCAGCCTCAAGCCACAATCCTTCCAATCTCCACCTCCCAAGTAGCTTGGATTCCATGTGAAGCATAGCACCCAGCCGCATGTCATTTTCATGCATGACCTTTTCCACTCTCATTCAAAAACTGCAGGAAACAGAAACTTACCCACACAGGCATTGAGGAATAGCCAATCAGTCTTTTTCATCCTGTTTTTAATTTGCTTTAGTTTTTTGAAGTCCACTTCAAGTTCCTCCTTGCTGCCAACAGCACCTGCCAGTTCAATCCTCTGAAAATCCATTTTCACTTCAGAGTCTCGTTTTGTAGTGGGAGGTGATCTTCTTTGGCTATTACCACTACTGCAGCTTCCCCTCCATCGAGCTCTGTCTTGCTCATTTATTATTGAAGAAGCCTCTTCAGTCTCTGCCAGCTCTATTGCTTCAATGTTATTAGGTCTGGGATGATCACAAACAACACATTTTTTAGCCTTGGCCCAGTTTTCATATGTGCAAATAGAACAGGTCCAATGCTGGGTCCTTGCATTCAGTTTATTCCTATCATTGTATTCCTCGCAAGGATCAACAGAAAAAGCAACTGGTCTTGAGCCAGATCCTGAGGATTGAGGAGATTCTGTGGGACTCCGGGTCCTACGTTGGGATAAACACTGGGTGCATCTGATTGCTCTTGGCCAGTTCAAATATGTGCACATGTGGCATGACCACTTATTTGCATTTTCCATACTGTATGAAGATTTAACCCTTGGTCTTGCACTGGAATCTGGACATATCAAAGGACTACTTCCTCCTTCAGTACTAGAAGGATCCCAATCTCTACCAACATCACTGGAACCACTTTTAAATGGATCTTCAGTAATAATTGTTCCACTGGGTCTTTGGGCACGACACATAGTACACTTGATTGCAGACGGCCAGTTTTCATACGTACAATATTCACAAGCCCACTTAATTCCACGTTCTGACATTGTGCGCTTCTTCAAGTGAGTTATGCCAGGCAGGAAGCTATAAACAATTAGGATATCATTATTAACAGAGTACCTACATAATTCCACCTCTAAAAATATCCCCAAACAATAAATATGCCCAAACAATGCATTTAAGATTTCCCACTAAATTATTCTACATTTCTTTTGAATTGCCATAGAGATAATAGAGATAAACTCCCAAAGAAAATTCTTAGATTTCAGGATTCAATGAAATTTTACTTTGGAATACAATGGTAATAGGTAGGAGACAAAGGAACATTTGTTCTAAGGAAGGAGATTGAAAGGAAGGGATGTCACTATTTTAAGCACTACAATAAGTAATACTTAATTTTGGCTCAGCTAATACCATCTATTTAGAAAAGTATCCAATAGTGAAAAAGACTCAAAGAGAAGTGAAAGAACACAAACCAAATAATATCTTCTCAAATTACAAGCGATGTAGTTTATACAATCAGGTTCGTGGATTCAGAAGATCAGTCATCTCTATTAGTCTTGCTAAGAGAGGAAAGCAGCTTAAAGGTGCTAATTATTCACTGTTTTTATTTAGCACGGGCAAAGATGCAAAAGAGTAATCATTTCAATTAACAACAAAGTAATCTTATGAAAGAGAAATCATTCGATGATATTCTGTATTCTCAAAAATCTACTTCAATGAGGAGCACAAAAAGAATACTATCACTTGGGAAAAAATAAAATAGACAGAACAGCTGAGATTACCTACTAGCATAATCATAAAGATATAATATGCATGATAATATTTCAGCCTTTTTTATTTTTGGCCAGTCCTAGAGCTTGAACTCGGCCTGAGCACTGTTCCTGAGCTTTTGTGCTCAAGGCCCTACCACTTGTGCCACAGCTCCACGTCAGGCTTTCTGCAGTTAACTGAACATAAATGTCTCACGACTTTCCTGCCTATGCTGGCTTCCAACCTTGATATTCATATCTCAGCCTTCTGACTGGCTAGGTTTACAGCCATGAGCCACCAGCAACTGGCAACAACTGAAATTTTTTAATGTATTCAAAATTCAATTCACATTAAATATATACTGAATCGTTTTAAAAATTCTTAGAAACTGGGCATGAATCTTGACATTTGGGAGACTGAAGCAAGAGGATCTTGTTTCCAGACCAGCCCAAGCGACCCAGCAAAACTTTGTCTCAAAAATTTAAAAAAGAAAAAAACAAGAGTTCTGAGTTGGGCATCAGTAGTTCACACCTATAGTTGTAGGTATTTGAGAGACAAAGAATGGGAAGATGGAGGTTCAAGACCAGGTGAAGAGTTTGAGATACCCCTCCAAGCACAATAACATGCTAACTACATTGTAGGTTGAGATTGGGAAGATCTCAGTTACAAGCCAGCCTTGCGTAAGTCTGCAAAATTCCATCTCAACAGAAAAAAGCTGGGTATGATTGTTCACGGCTGTCACCCCAGCTAGACAGAAAGCTTAAATTTAGCAGACTGTAGTCTAAGCCCAAGCTTGGATGGGAAATGAGACCCTATCTCAAAAAAAAAAAATCAAAAAGCAGAATTGGAAGCATAGCTAAGTCATAGTGCACCTACCACCTAGCAAGTATGAGACCCTATGCTCAATACTCCAATACCACCAACAAACAAACAAGTTTCTAGTATTCCACAGTCAGCTTCACTAATACTCTACCAAAATAAAGATTTGTGTTGTTTAGTTAGAACTAATGCATAAGTGAAACAACTTATGCAACTAATTTAAGAATACTTTAATGACTTAAATTTACATTCAAAAGCCAATTTCTAACATGTTCTTAATTTTTTTACAACTCAATGTTCATCTTACAACTTTTTTATTTGTTGTTTTTGGGTTCTGTTTTGTTTCTGTTTTGTTTTTTGAGACTGGATCTCATTATATAGCCCAGGATAGACTCAAACTCACAATCCTCTTGAAGCCTCTTGTAGACCTAATTCTACCACACTTGATCTGATTCCCCATCATCGTGTGTGTGTGAGTGTGTGAGTGTGTGTGTGAGTGTGTGTGAGTGTGTGTTCTGATGCTGAGGCTTCAACTTGAGGCCTACGTGCTGTCATTTAGCTTTTTCTCTCAAGCTGGCACTCTACCACTGGAGCCACCCATCAATCACTTTTTTAACCAGCAAAGAGAAATAGATACTTCCCATTTCTGAGTGATTTTTTTCCTACACTGAGGAGCGCTAAACCACTTTAGAAGTGTTATCTGTTCCTACCTGCCAAATCCACATCCCATTTACAGTGTAAACTTTGCTAAGAGGACAACTTCACTACAAGAAAGGGTACTATTTAATGGCTAAAATAAAAATCACACTTACTAAGATGTTAGTTTCCATGCTATAACCTCCACCTTGCACATGGTTAGAATAACAGTATAGTTATAAATCAGACCAAAGATAGTCTTCATGCTGGCTCAGACTCTGACTTCCTCAGGAGATACTGCACAACGTGATAAGTAGTTCTGTCTTACTGTGAATAGCTATTCCTGTAAAGGAGACCAAAACTGAATTTCACTTACAGCCTACTATTTTATTCAAAAAATATTTTTACAAAGGCTTAACTTTAACTCTATTTTAATTTTACTCACTTATTTTAATAATAAAGTATTATATTTAGAATATTAATACAGAAATAAAAATAGCTAATTTTTTGGTCTGGTTAGTCAAATTAAACATGAGAAAGAAATGTTTCTATATAATGTTAAATATATGTGTGTGCGTATACACACACAAACAATATTATCTTGTTTTCTTGAGTCAGTCTCACCAATTAACCCAACCTGGCCTAAATCAAACTCACTTTTTAGCCTAGACTGGCCTCAAATTCACAATATCCTGCCTCAGCCTGAGTGCTGGGATTACTGGCATGTGCCTCCAAGCTAGGCAGTATGAGCAGTACTAAGTACTTGTATTACTGAAATGGGAAAGGTAACACAATCCAAATAAGTAGAAAAAGGGGGAAGGCTTAGGTTCATCTTTTAAGTTATTTTATCTTTCAGCAACTACCATTATTATCTTCATCCAAGTAATTTTAATTCATCTTGCTTTGACTTTTCAAATTTCCTTTATCACTGATTATACACAATCTAACAGCAACTCAAAAGTATGTTTATAGCAGGGAACTATAACCATAAAAATATTTGTAAAGTGAATAGATATGATAACAATTTTCATATTCATTAGTTCCTTCCTTCCTTCAGTTTCTCAGGAATGAAATACATAAATTACTTGTTCATGCTATAAGAAATTATAAATGAGCAGGGCACTGGCAAATCACACCTTTAATCCTAGCTACTCAGGAGGCTGACACCTGAGGATTGCAGTTCAAAGCCAGCCTGGTCAGCAAAGTCCATGACTCTTATCTCCAATTAACCCCCAGAAAAACAGAAATGGAGCTGTGGCTCAAAGTGGTAGAACAGTAGCCTTGAGCAAATACAAGAAGCTCCAGGACAGCACCCAAGCCCTGAGTTCAAGCCCCACAATAGAGGGAGGGAGGGACTGTAACGAGCAGGCAGGAACTTATAACAAGAACCCATGTCATATACTGTGGACTATACTGAACGTAAACTAAGTGAACTAAATAAACGTATACTACAGACTTAATATTTTAATACTGCATCTAAATGTTTGCACTCAAAAACCCATACTTGCTTTGATACATCTTATTCTGATATGTTTGTAGGATCAACTTCACAGCTGTAACTTTAAATTACTTAAGTTACTTGGCATGGAATTATGTGCTGATATAATATACTTAAATACCAAAGCTTAGAAAAACAAAACCCTGTCATAAAAAATAATTATGTAAACTAGTTAATCAATAGAGTATATTTAGTATATTCAAGACCTTGGAATCACCAGCCCCAAATCATCATCATCATCATCATCAGCTACCTAGTAAAAATAATACCTAATGAATCTACTCTGAAAATACAGGTAACAGAACAACACAAACAAGCCCAGAGATTTAAGAAAAGTGCAGTATCAGAGCTCAGTGGCTCCAGCCTGTAACTAGCTACCCGGGTAGTAGAAATTGAGATCAAGATTCTGGCATGAAAGTTCACTAGACTCCATCTCAATCAGTGGCTGGGCAACACAAGAAAGCTTAGACATAAAATGAAATTCTACTTCAAAAATAATCTATCCTGGGCTGGGAAGGTGGCTCAGTGGTAGAGTGCTTCCCTTGCATATATGAGGCCCTGGGTTCGATTTCTCGGCACCACATAAGCAGAAAAAGCCGGAAGTGGCGCTGAGGCCCAAGTGGTAGAACACTAGTCTTGAGCTGAAGAACTGAGGGACAGTGCCCAGGCCCAGAGTTCAGGCCCCACGACTGAGGGGGGAAAAAAAAAAAAAACAATCAATCCAGCTGGGCTCTGGTGGCTCACACCTGTAACCCTAGCTATTCGGGAGCTAAAATCTGAGGAAGCCAGTCCTACAGGAAAATCAGGGAGACTCTTATCTCCAATTAACCAGAAAAAAAATTTTTAAATGGAAGTGGCACAGTGGCTCAAGTGTCAGAGTGCTAGCCTTGAGCAAAAAGAGCATAAGCAGAGTGCCCAGGCCCTGAATTCAAGCCCCATCACCAAAACATAAAAATAATCGATCCAGTCAGGCACCAGTGGCTCTCACCCCTGCACTCCTAGCTACATAGTAGGTTGAGATCTGAGGATCACAGTTCGAAGTCTGCACAAGAAAACCCACAAAACTCTTATCTCCAATTCACTACCAAAAAATAAGTTGAAAGTAGAGCTGTGCTTCAAGTGGTAGAGCACTAGCCTTGAGCAAAAAAGTTCAGTGACAACACCCAGGTCGCCAAAAAATAGTGCTAAAAATAAAATTTAAAAATAATTAATGCAAGCCGGGCGCTGGTGGCTCACGCCTGTAATCCTAGCTACTCAGGAGGCTGAGATTTGAGGATCTCGGTTCAAAGCCAGCCCGGGCAGGAAAGACCATGAGACTCCTACCTCCAATAAATCACCAGAAAACCGGAAGTGGCGCTGTAGCTCAAGTGGTAGAGCTGAAGAGCTGAAGAGCTGAGGGACAGCACTCAGGCCCAGAGTTCAAGCCCCACGACCGACCAAAAAATAAATAAATAAATAAAATAATTAATGCAAAAGTAACTGGGAGCACCTGCCTACCAAACGCAAGACCATGAGTTCAATCTCCAGTACTAGCAGAACCTGAAAATGTGCATTAGGATAATGATGTACAAACATTATCCACTCTCTGGCGAATCAAAATGTTAAGTGATATATTTTAGTAACTGAAAGCTAAACTTCACTGGAGAAAATTATGTGAGAACAGGTAATTTTTTTGTAGCTGTGAAATCAGTAAATGGAATGGAAGAATAAGAATAAAGTTAGCATGACTGTGATTTCACATTACTGAGAAGAAATTAACACTCAATATTCTTTTTCTTCCAGATGTCATAACACCCTAAAAGGTTTATTTTCAAAGCAATCAGCTCTAAGTTAATGCTACATTCAGAAGAAGAAAAAAGTATTATTATTCACATAGCCACGTCAATTTAATTTCTAAGTCTAACTGCATGCCAGATAGATTTCCAAATTCTATCCAAGACATCATACTTCATTTAACTAGTATAATAAAATTTACATAATCCTGACTTTTTAAAAGAGATGGACACAACACTACCTTTTTGGGGAGGTGGGATGGTACTGGAGTTTGAATTTAAGGCCTTATACTAGCTAGGCAGATGATTTATAAGGGAAAAATGGGGAAGCAAACTAATCCACCCTAAGTACAAACCTCTTTAAGAAACAAACTGAGCTCAGCTGCAAGTTACTTACAAATGAGAAATTATCCAAAGGAAGGCTTATCGGCAGTCGTAAACCTTATTAGTTTAATTAACAGATACTAATAAGCTGAGTATAGTGGCTCAGACTTGTTATCTCAGCTACTCAGGAGGCTAAGATCTAGAGGACTGGTTCAAGGCTAGCTCGGGCAAAAAGGTCACAAGACCCTATTCTCAACTAATAAAAAACTGAGCATAGTGGCATGTGCCTATCATCTCAGCCACATGTGAAGCACAAATAAGACCATGGTCCAAGCCACCCTAGGCAAAAGTATTCAAAACTAACAAAAGCTAAAAACATGGTTCAAGTGGCAGTGTGACTGCCTAATATGCACAAGGCCGAGTTCAAGTCCCAATACTGCCAAAAAAGAAGTTATACCTCAGTAGAGATGTACAAATGGTCAGAACACCTTCAAGGACTACAGATAAAAACTAAAACTGAAGCCAGGCGCTGGTGGCTCATGCCTGTGATCCTAGCTACTCAGGAGGCTAAGATCTGAGGATCGTGGTTCGAAGCCAGTCCAGGCAGGAACGTCAGTGAGACTCTCATCTCCAATTAACCACCAGAAAACCGGTAGTGGTGCTGTGGCTCAAGTGGTAGAGCGCTAGCCTTGAGCTGAAGAGCTGAGGGACAGTGCTCAGGCCCAGAGTTCAAGCCCCACGACCAACACACAGACACACACACACACACACACACACACACACACACACACACCTAAAAACTAAAATTGAATAGGATATTCCAAGCAGTCTCTGTTTCAGGTTCTGTTGATACTTTAAAAAGTATAAAGTTACAAAATGCACATAAACAAACCAGAATGAAATGGGTGGGCACCATGACTCAAGTCTGTGATCCTAGCTATTTGAGAGGTGGAGATCAGGGGATCAAGGACAGAGGTCAGCCTAGATTTCAATTCAACCAATAGCTGTTGCACACCTTTCATCACAGCTATGGGGGGAAGCACAAGGCTGAGAGCAGCATCACATACTTATCATCCCCATTGATGCAGGGAAGTACAATAAGAGGGCCAAAGCCCAGGCCTACATGGACATAAAGTGAGACCCTAGCTCAAAAAAACAATACAAGAAGCAAGTACTGTTAGCTCATGGTGCAAAACCAACAGCGGCAAAAATGTCCTCTAGATTCCATCTCTAATTAACCAGCAAAAAGCTGGAGTTGAGTTGTGGCTAAAGTGGTAGACCAACAACTCTGAAAAGCAAGCGAAGCCCCAAATTCAAGCCTCAGTACCAGCACAGAAAAAAAAGGGGGGTACTTCTTAACTCTTAAGTCAAAACTCCCAGTCATTTTTTCATTGGCATCATTGTCTTCCTCAACTAACCACAATTAACTGAGCTCAATCAGGACTCTGGAGATTGAAGACACAGTGAACCTACAAGTCCTCTCAGGCCTTCAATAATATGTCACTCATTAAACCCTGTATCATCATCTCAGACCAAACCCCTGTCCTGACTTCTCCAGTCTCATCATGACCACTATTGAATTTTGTTATTACAGATTTGATCTG